AGAGAGGCTCCGCATCCCATCTCTTCCTCTACTGCAGTCAGATGGGTTGGCTGATAGCAGATGGCAATAGAGAGAGAGGTGGAGCCAGATCACTGTTGGTCTCTCAGCCGAGTGACTGCGTGGGCCCTGTCCCATCTCTCCCTCTGTAGCACAAAGGTGGCTATCTGGGTTTCATTTCCTTTGGAAGAAAGAGAGCAATGGATAGTTCTGACATTCCTACAAGGCAGCGAATCCATTCACACACACACAAGGCACCCAGGGAGATGCCCTTCTCTTTAACCCTTACGGCAGCCCTCTGCTCTTTACCTGCCTCTTCCAATCTGCAAACCACTTCCCCACACAAACAGGCCCCTTTCCTGAGTTGGAAGGGTCCTGCCTTTGAAGGATCTTTCATTCAGACTCCACTATTAGCCATGACAAGTATGTTCTACCTCCATCATCAGGGGAAGAATACTAGTTGCTGAGGAGCATGCTGCTTTGCTCAGGTTCCGTTTGTGGGATTTCCATGGGCTCTTCTTATGTTCTTCATTTCCAACTACTTCCTATAACCTAACTGGCTGATGGGAGCTAAACGGCCTTGGTCGAGTATACCTGATGGAGCGTCTCCACCTCCATCGTTCTGCCTGGACACTGGGGTCCAGCGCCGAGGGCCTTCTGGCGGTCCCCTCACTGCGAGAAGCCAAGTTACAGGGAACCAGGCAGAGGGCCTTCTCAGTAGTGGCACCTGCCCTGTGGAATGCCCTCCCACCAGATGTCAAAGAGAAAAACAATTACCAGGTGACTTTTAGAAGACATCTGAAGGCAGCCATGTTTAGGGAAGCTTTTAATGTTTGATGCATTACTGTATTTTAATTTTTTGTGGGAAGCTGCCCAGAGTGGCTGGGGAAGCCCAGCCAGATGGGCGGGGTATAAGTAATAATAATAATAATAATAATAATAATAATAATAATTAGAGGTCAACTTACCAACGCATCCAGTATACCAGTGTTTCTCAACCTTGGGTCTCCAGCTGTTTTCAGACTACAATTCCCATCATCCCTGACCACTGGTCTTGCTAGCTAGGGATGATGGGAGTTGTAGTCCCAAAACAGCTGGGGACCCAAGGTAGGGAAACACTGCCGTATCCAGTATCTCATAAAAAGAATGGTTAGTTGGCTGCCTGTAACCGTACCAGTTAACCAATTGATACTAATGTAAAAGCCTTAGGAGAAAACTCCCACTCCCCGTGACATCAGTGTTTTCCCCACCCGTTCATTCAACCTCATGTAGAACATCAAGTTAAGCTCCACTCGTGGTGGAACATACACCAGCTGGCTCTCATGAAATCTTACTTCCAAGCATGTAGGTTCCAGACACAGGGTTGTCATCAAGCGTTCCCTTGTTTGCTTGCCATATGCGCTGTGGGTACATTTTCAGTGCCCACAGTCCTCCTCCTCCACATTCAGCTCATGCTCTGTTTTCATCTCTGAAAATGTCAGAATCTGTCACATTTCTCCCAGTTCTACAATGGCCGAAACTGGCATGTTCTGCCAGTGCTCAGCTCCTTTAGTCAAGCAGCTGAAGAGAGAGGGCTGAACCTCTTGGGTTTCATCTTGCACCCAACCCATTGTTGTTCTTTGTAGCTGGCTGAGTTCTTTCCCTACACTGAACAATGATGGGGGTGGGGTGGGGGAAGGTGGGAGAGTGTGATTCCTTGCTACACAACATACACACCTAAACTAAACATGCAGCTTCCCCCCTGAGCCTCTTGAGATGTTATTTCTCCCGCTCTTCCTCCACCATTAATGGCGAAACAAATTAGGAGAGGGCATTTTGCAACAGCCCTATTGGGGTCTATGGGCAATGATGAGGAATCAGATATTCTGGGAAATTGTGGATGATACAGCTTTACTCTCATTTGGGACACCAGCCGTCATTTGATCAGGCAACTAAACTGTGTGCATCAGCCCTGGAGATTTTGCTAGCACTTGGGGGTTTGGCTAACCAGCTTTGGAGTGAAATGAAATTTTGTGCCGTGGTCTCCAAAGGCAGGCTTCAGAGGAGATAGCAGCTTTGGAGCTTGGCTGTCAGGGCTGCCTGCTGCAATCCCTCTTTCATGCAAATTATGACTTTTTCTGTATGTAAGTGATAAGCATTTCCAAACACTGTAGTAATGTATGGGTGGGAAAAGCAAATGCATGATCACATACACACACAGGATGTGTAGTAAGGAGTGTCTCATTTGCACACTTCCTTAATTCCCATGCAATAAAATATTAGCCCTTAATGATTTCATAGTTGGGCCTGCCAGAAGAGAGAGAGGCAAGCAGGAAGAATCAGCACACTGATTGTGTTCCAATGAGCTCATTTGAAAATCTATCAAATGACTTTCTAAATGCAGTTGAAAGCAGCTTGCTTTACCAAATTAAATTATCTGTTGTTCTTGGAGAATGGCTGTTTTATGGTGCTATTAGGCCATTGAGAAATTCCTAGCTGGAGAACGTTCACCAGCGACTGAACTACATTAATGATAAATGAAGAAAGATATATGCATATTCTCTCCCTCTCTACACACACACCAATCTCCAAGTGGTGAGAGGCTTCAGAGGTGCCTGTGCTTTCCCAGGGTTCGATATCTTTGGAATGAAGGTCAATGCAGACTGGTGTTTTTAGGATATATGCATCTATAAAAGCATATATACAACCTGAGTATAGGATGGAGGGGCTCAATGTTGGAGAGAGAAAGGTTTGGAAGGCAGATCCTACTCTCCAGTAGCAGAGTTAAGCACAATGGTGATTGCTCCAAGCACATTCAAACTTGGTTAGATTTACATCTGCCCTCATCCACCTTTAAACAAACATTCCCCATAAAAATACTTGGACTAGAATAAATCACAGACCTAGCTTTACAAATAAGTGAATGTTTTATTCACAGGGTTTCCAGACCTTACCTCAAACAAGTCTCCATCTGCTGACAGAAATACAAAGAAGAAAAATGGTTCCAAACAACTTAAAATGGTTTCCTTACAAAAATGATCGCGCAATCTTTGTATTAGGCAAAGATGCAGGCTTTAAAATAGCCTTTGAAAGAGATTCAGTTCACTTGGTTTTTCTTGTAGCTGGGAGCCATTGTACGCATTGCTCCTTACTTGTTCCAGGAAGCACAAAGAGAAAAAGGCAGAGAAAAGTGGGGAGTAGAGGCTCCTGAGGGCTTGCTAAGCCACACCCACTTGCAACATGAGCTCAAGGCTCAGTTTAACTGTTTTTACGCACAATAGAGTTTCTCACTACACCCTGAGCCACCATTTTGAACCTGGTCTCCATCCATGAATCATTATTTCGCACCTTAGTGGACCTCAGCATTCAAATAAAAAATAAAAAGAACACACTTGCCTGAAGTGTGCCCATGCCTGGAAACTTTACAAGACTCACCTTTTCATATTTTCCGTTTTTGTCTGTGCATGCTACTTTAAATAGATTACTATACAACTTGACTCCATCTTATTACCAGCACTTTCATTCCAGCAGAGACTGTACCATTTCAGTCCTTTAGTCAGGAAGGCGAATTTCCTTTAAAAGGGAGAAGAAAGAGAAAAAGAACTTGGAACAAGCGTCATGATGGAAAACCCCATAGGGACTCGTTCCGATTTTCTCCACTCGCTCATGCATTTCCTTGAGTTTCTCTTGCTTGAGAGAATTTCTGCTCAGACTCCCCAAAGTCATTCCAAGGTTTAGCGTAGAAAATATCAGGAGCTGAGCGTTGGATTCAGACAGACTTATGACAAATTACTTCAAAGGTAAACTTTACAGCCCAACATTCGATGAAATGGACTCCCATTTATTGTGCCATAATAAATGTGTTGGGCTTTAAGGTGACCCACAAGTCTTTGGTTGCAATCCTACAATCATTTACCTGGGAGCTGCCCCATTTGACCCAGTCTTACTCTTGTGTAGATATTATCAGCATTTTCGTGAGCTTCACTCCTAATATATTTTTGCAATGCAACTTTGCCTAATATACACATTTTTGTTTGCTATCTTCACTATTATATACATGTTGGTGTACACTTACCCCTAAATATATGCATTCTGCCATTTTTTCTTGAAGAACTGCCTGACAAAATGCAGAAACATGCACGTTTTGAAGGATAGCCATGTTCCAGTTTCTGCACAGGATTGGAAGTGAGAATTAGGAAGGTTCATATTCAATGCGAGAAGCACCCTTTTCCTCCATCCCTGCCCACAGCAAGCACTATAGCCTAGGGGAAGCCAAGATAGTGCATCAAGATGTCATTGGACTCCCATCATCCCTGGTCAATCGCCATTCTGGGTGGGGGCTGAGGGGAGTTGGAGCCCAGCAATATCTGGAAGAAGCCATCTTAGCCACCCCAGTATAGTCAATTGACCTCCCCAGGGTTGCTCCACCTCATTCTATAGCATGCACAAACCTGAGAGTGTATCTAATGCTAGTCTAACTCAGAATAGTCTCACTGAAGGTATTAGATATGACCTAGGCTGCATTGTTGTTGTTTAGTCGTGTCCGACTCTTCGTGACCCCATGGATCAGAGCACTCCAGGCACTCCTGTCTTCCACTGCCTCCCGCAGTTTGGTCAAACTCATGTTCGTAGCTTCGAGAACACTGTCCAACCATCTCGTCCTCTGTCATCCCCTTCTCCTTGTGCCCTCAATCTTTCCCAACATCAGGGTCTTTCCCAGGGAGTCTTCTCTTCTCATGAGGTGGCCAAAGTATTGGAGCCTAAGCTTCAGGATCTGTCCTTCCAGTGAGCACTCAGGGCTGAGTTCCTTCAGAATAGATAGGTTTGATCTTCTTGCAGTCCATGCACACCATACATTTAACACACCATGATACTTTAAACAGTCAGGGCTTCCCCCCAAAGAATTCTGGGAGCTGAACTTTGCTAAGGGTGCTGAGAGTTGCTAGGAGACCTTTATTCCCCTCACAGGACTACAACTCCCAGAGTGGTTCAACACCATTATTTCTTTATGAGGAACTTTGGGGACTATAGCTCCAGGAGGGGAATAGGCAGTCTCCTCGGGACTCTCAGAACCTTTAACAAACTACAGCTCCCAGAATTCCTTGGGGGAAAGCCATGTCTATTTAAAGAGGCATTACAGTGCATTAAAGGTATGGTGTGAATGGAGCCTAACTCAGGTCTATTAATTTTAATAGGTCTACTTTGAGTAGAACTTGGTTGGAGACAACCCTAGGTTCTTCAGAGTTTCCCTCCTAATTTCCAAAGGTTGCTGAAATCTCTCTTGGTGGCAGTGCCAGCGGGGGATGTACTGTTCTTTCAATACTGTGCTGACAACCAGTGGCAGACCTACAATTTTGGGGGCCCTGAAGCTTGAACTGTTATGGGGGCCCCTTCACAACCAGCAATGAGGTCTGCGTAACCACTGTTATTTTCTTCAGTGGGGTTATTTGCAACAACCTGTACAACATCTGTGCTAGTAAAGGTAAAGGGACCCCTGACCATTAGGTCCAGTCGTCGCCGACTCTGGGGTTGTGGCACTCATCTCGCTTTACTGGCTGAGGGAGCCGGCGTACAGCTTCCGGGTCATGTGGCCAGCATGACTAAGCTGCTTCTGGCAAACCAGAGCAGCACACGGAAGCACTGTTTACCTTCCCGTCAGAGCGGTACCTATTTATTTACTTGCACTTTGATGTGCTTTCAAACTGCTAGGTTGGCAGGAGCAGGGACCAAGCAACGGGAGCTCACTCCGTCGCAGGGATTCGAACTGCCGACCTTCTGATCAGCAATTCCTAGGCTCTGTGGTTTAACCCACAGCGCCACCCGTGTCCATGTGCTACTGTGCTACTGACTTTCAAATTTTGGGGTTGTTGAAATATATACAGCAAAAAATAATCAGTTTGAGTCATGCAACTTAAATTGTGTCTCCTGGACCCATTTTTTTTAAAAAAAGCAATGTGGACTAAAGTAGTTTCTGGGCTCCCTCTGGGATTAGTGGCCCTGAAGCTTAAGTTTCATTAGTTTCATAGTAGATCTGCCCCAGCTGACAACATTCCTTTCCTACCACAGCTCATAATCACTCTTTCTCCCGTCTTCTCAAATCATCTTTATCAAAACCCATAACCACTATTGTGTGTTTTTTTCTTTTTTACCCCCTTCAGAAAATTGGGCACGTTTCATCATGTCCCTTTAGCAGGAACACAATGCAAAAAACAAAAGAAGTGGGGAGGGGGGAGGAAGAGAAAGCTTCAATTCTGAGAAAAGACCTAGAGAGAAGAAGACAGCAGGAAAGAAACAAACCCATGCTGACATGAAAGTGTTGCTTTGTCTTCAGCTGTCTAATTACGTGCACATTCATCATGTGGTCTGCGCTTCATAAAAGAGATTGAAATGAACCACTTTGGAAGTTTCAGAGCAAGATAAGTGGTATCTAGCAATGGTGGGCTGGGGGGGGGGTAGACAATGGGACCACTGCAATCTGGAGGGAAGGGGTCGCATGCTGAGTTTCTTTTTCTTTCAAGCTAAAGCAATGTGAAGGATGCGGGTGGCGCTGTGGTCTAAACCACAGAGCCTAGGGCTTGCCGATCAGAAGGTCGGCGGTTCGAATCCCCATGACGGGGTGAGCTCCCGTTGTTCGGTCCCAGCTCCTGCCCACCTAGCAGTTCGATAGCATGTCAAGGGCAAGTAGATAAATAGGTTCTGCTCCGGCGGGAAGGTAAACGGCATTTCCGTGTGCTGCTCTGGTTCGCCAGAAGCGGCTTAGTCATGCTGGCCACATGACCTGGAAGTCGTCTGCAGACAAATGCCGGCTCCCTCAGCCTATACAGCGAGATGAGTGCCACAACCCCAGAGTTGTCCGCGACTGGACCTAACAGTCAGCGGTACCTTTACCTTTTTTAAGCAAGGCAAAGTTGTGGGTGAGTCAGGAGCCTCCCCCTGAACTGCCACAGATGGAGGGGGGGGACTGCTGAATACAGCCATGCTCTCTGGTAGCGATCGAAAATAGTAGTGCCTGGTGATGTGTGCGCTTGATTGCTGCCTTTGGAAGGTGAACAAATGGCTTTGTAGCGCATTGAGTACATTTTTGACGAGCTCCCCAACCATGTAAGAGAAATGGAATGGATGACTAGGTTACTCCATATCCACACTCCTCTAAACTAGACTTCCCCAAGCTGCTCCGCTTCAGCCATTGCTGAACTACATCCCCCACTGCCCTAGACCGGGAGGTCTGGAGGGTGGTAACACAAGAATGGGTCATTTTCAGTGGTAGCTTTCCAATTTCGAATTGCTCTCCCCCAGGGAGACTTGCCTGGTGCCATCGTTAATATCTTTAGGCACCAAGCAAAAACATTCCTTTTTAATTAGGCCTTTGGCTTCTAACTATCTATGGCATTTTTGCATGGGCAGGATGTTTTAATGTAGTTTTTTTAATAAAAAAAATAGACTTGACTATTTGCTTTTTAATGCTAGTTTTAATGTATGGAATCTTTTTGCTTAAAATATTGTAAGTTGCTTTGCATTGCCTTGGCATAATAATAATAATAATAATAATAATAATCAGCAACAGAAGCTCTGGACAACATGGGCATTGTTTAGGGATGATAGGGGTCACAGTGGAGAGCTTAATGAAGGCATAAACCCAGCATGTGGCAACAGTGAAAAAGGCAAATTCCATGCTGAGGATCATTAGGAAACGAACTGGAAATAAAATTGCCAGTATCAAATGCCATTGTACAAATGATCTTATATAATGCTGAAACAAAACACTGAGGATTGTTTGGATGTGTGTGAATTTGGATGTGGTGAACTGAACAGGAACCCAAATAGTCCATTTTGTAAAGGGACAACCATGAACTGGCATTAGTTCATTTTTGGACATGACCTTGAGCTGGAACCGTTCCTTTAAAAAATGAAATTCCCAAGTTATGTTTATGTTTTTCAGCTCCAGAAAGAACACCCTCCCTTCACCCCCACATTTTAAATAGAGCCAGATTTCCCGTTTTCTTGCTTTTGATTATGTTCCTCAAATCTTACTCACCAGCACCAAGATTATTCTTGACAACTGTGCACCTGTCAGTCAGAGCCGATGGCAGGCTTGGAGAAAGCTTTAAGCACCAAGAAGGATAAAGCTCCTGCTCTTTAAAGCTGCAAGCCTCTGAAAGTCTCCAGTGGAAACACACCAATCTTATTTTATTTTAAATATTTAGATCCCACCTTTTAGTAAAAAGAAACTTTCAAGGTGGCTTTCAAGGAAATATTGTGCTTTGGAATCAGATGGCTAGAAGCAGTGGTCCAAGTTGAAGGGACCCAAGATCAGGAGAAGGAGCTCAGAACTGCATGGAAGCAAGGGAGCTGTCCCAATGGGTTGGCACACCCACCCGCCAAGTTTTTAAAGATGTGGGTGGCAAGCTCACTTGTGAGACTCTCATGTCTTGTGAGACTGTTGAGCATTGCAAACACATTCTACCTTGCAGAGGAAGCATCTGTTCCCAACAGCAGGAGCATTGCTGAGGCCTGCTGAGTCTCAACAGCAGGAGCATTGCTGAGTCTTGGGTGACCAGGCTGTGCCCTCCCCTTCTGACCTCAATTTCTCTACCCCTGGTATTTGGTCAATGCCCTCCCTGAATTTAGTTGCTGTATACTTTTCCCCGGGAGGGACGAGGGGGGATGGATTCTCACTTTCCCAGCTGGGGCAGCCATATCCTGGAAGGGGAAAGTACTCACCTTCTTCAGCCTCTGCTCCTCCCCGTCTCAGTTACCCCCATATCACCCTCCTGTCCCCACTCTCTCTGTCTTAGCCTGCCACTCCACTCCTGAGCCCGGTTACAGTGTGGTTAGCATATAATACTTCCACACACACGCCTGTGCATCCTGAGATCACACTGGACATTCAGGACAAGGCGAGGATACTATTTAACATGTCTGATTCATCCAATATGACTCACTGTTGTACGGTTTGAGACCCGAATTTTTAAATAGCTTGGCTTCTTCAGCAAATAATAATAATAATAATAATAATAATTTTATTATTTATACCCCACCCATCTGGCTGGGTTCCCCTGGCCACTCTGGGCAGCTTACAGCACATAAAAAATGGTAAAACATTAGACATTAAAAATTTCCTGATACATGGTTGCCTTCAGATGTCTTCTAAAAGTCAGATAGTTGTTTATTTCCTTGACATCTGCCTGGTTCCCTGTAACCTCACTTCTCGCAGTGAGGGAACCATCAGAAGGCCCTCAGAGCTGGACCTCAGTGTCCGGGCTGAACGATGGGGGTGGAGACACTCCTTCAGGCATACTGGGCCAAGGCCATATAAGCGACTAAAGGGGTTACGGCAAAGTCATTTTGGGCATGTGCAGAAGACCTTTTCATTTACTTGGGCTACTCAGAAGTCACAGTAAGCAACATCTGATCATCCTCAAAGATGGGGGAGTTTGGCTGATTCATCATATCAACCACACAGATATAGAAATAAGGTCTTAATTGCATTATACGTATTGGATAGAATTATTGAAATTTAACCATTTTAGTCAATTAAAGGCATAGCTTGTCACACAGGAATGATGGACAATATAGATTTGAAAGAGAGATGGATTCATTATACATCTTGGTAGCATTACTAGTCTCAAGCTGAATGATCCCAGCCCAAGCTTATGACCTCAGTGAGTAGTAGGCCAGAGACCACTATCAAATTGCTCGTTACAGACACCTACTCCTGAGAGAGAATTGAGAGAGGTATTCACTTGAGTCAGAAAGCCTCCTAGCTTAATCCTGCTATGGTGTAATGTATGCATTATTCTTTCCTTAAGGCGTTGCCAAAAGGCAAAATTTAACAGGCAGCTTCATTCAGACTCTTTGTCCTGTCTCCCTGCCTTCCACATTATTAAATGAAGCTATAAAGAATCATATGTAATGAAGAACTCACAGCAAGCATAAGGAAAAACCAGGGAGAAAAGCAGTGCATCTTATGAAGAGACATATTTATTTCTCTTCTTGGCTAAGAAAATAATTTCAGGCCCCGAAAAACTTTTGCTACAGCATATATCACATACAGTAGTTGGGAGAGGCTGCTGCCTGAAGCCCTGGAGAGCTACTGACAGTCAGTGCAGACAATACTAAGTTAGATAGGCTAATGGTTTAAGGCAGCTTCCTACAGTCCTATGATCCTATGTGGAACCTCAGGCCTGGTGGTTGAATGTTGCCCTCCATGCCTCTGAATCTGGTCCTCTGGACCCTTCCCAGGCCAAGACCCGTTGTTCTCAGGTCACACCCACCACCATTTCTCATTTGCACCCTCCTCAAGCATTTTTGGCAGGCTGGAACGTGTCCTCAAACTCTGCTGTTTTCTTGCCTGAACAGGAGGGCAGAAAGGGATGTGCGAAACTAGCCTATTGTGTTCAGGTCAAATTTACATTCATTGCTCCACCCACTTTCACCTCTGACTGCACCAAACACCCAGAAGATGGGAATGTTAGAGGAGGATATTCTTTCCAAAGTGTATATTAGCTAGGGCCAGTCCTACCATTTGGCAAAGTGAAAAGTTTGCCTCAGGCAGGGAGAGCAGGAAACAGTGGTAAGCAGTGCTTTTTTTCTGAGGGGATGCAGGAGTACACATACCCCTAAACGTTTTGTGAATCTTTGTACTTTGGTCCATTTACTGTATTTCTTTTCCCCCATTTGAACTATAAAATGGAGGTTTTCTTGAGTCAAAAGGAGAGTACCCCTAAACATTTTTTTTTAGAAAAAAAGCAATGGCGGTGAGTGTTCTTCTCTAAAACTAAAAGACTATGTAGCTAGGATAGCTGGGAGAATGTAGTATGCTTACATTAGAGGGCTGGTAGAGTTTAGGTGAGCCAATGTAGGATTCAGAAATAGTTACCTCGTGGTTAATTTTAATCTTAACATATTGTTCTTCTGCGTAAAGTTTAATAGCTTGAATAGTTGAGTTGCATATTCACATTGTATTTTGTTTTCCATATAGCTTTTATTTTATCTACAGCATCTCAATTATCTTCTGCTTAACTGCCAAAGTGGCTTCAGATCTATTTACAGGTAGATAGATAGATAGATAAACTTTATTCGCGTTAGCCAACGGCCATAGCAACATAAAACAAGCAATATATACAATTAAAAAGACAACAATGGGTAAAAAGGTCAATCAAATGACCAAGATTATGGTTCAGATAGTGGCCCTTAATTTCATTGCACCCTTGATAAACCTGGCAACCTTTGCTGTTGTCTGATCATTTTGATCTGATAAAAGAAAGAACAATGTGGCTGCAGATGGGTGGCCTGGGATGGTAAGTAAGAGTGGGGTAATGATCTCATTCCTCAGATCCTTATAAAGGGGACAGGACAAGGGAACATGAGCCACTGTTTCCAGATTGCCATCTCCACAGGGGCAGAGTCGTTTCTCAGTTGGAATCTTTTGGTATCTGCCCTCAGATCTATTTACAGGTATAAAACCACACACAATTAAAAGAAAAGCACACACATGAACATGAGAAGAACCTGGCTGTATCAGGTTGAAAACCCACCTGGTGCAGGATCCTGCTCTCACAGTGGCCAACCAGATGCCTCAATGGGAACCCCAAAAGCAGGACCTGAACGCAACAGCACTCTCCCCTCCTGTGGTTTCCAACTACTGTTCTTCAGAAGCATACAGCCTTTCACACTGGAGGCAGAGTACAGCCATCCTGGCTAGTAGCCACAGATAGCCGTATCCTTCAGGAATTTGTTTAATCCTCTTTTCAAATCTAACAGCACTCCCCTCGCTTGTGATTCCCAGCAATTGGAATTCGGTGGAGGTAGACCACAGGGTAGCGCTGTGGGTAAAACCTCAGTGCCTAGGACTTGCCGATCGTATGGTCGGCGGTTCGAATCCCCGCGGCGGGGTGAGCTCCCATTGTTCGGTCCCAGCTCCTGCCCACCTAGCAGTTCGAAAGCACTCTTAAGTGCAAGTAGATAAATAGGTACCGCTTTATAGCAGAAAGGTAAGTGGTGCTTCCGTGTGCTGTGCTGGTGCTGGCTCGCCAGCTGCAGCTTCGTCACGCTAGCCACGTGACCCGGAAGTGTCTTCGGACGGCGCCGGCTCATGGCCTCTAGAGCGAGATGAGCACGCAACCCTAGAGTCGGACACGACTGGCCCATACGGGCAGGGGTACCTTTACCTTTACCTAGACCACAGCCATCGTGGTAGGCATTGAAAATACACTCTGAAACAACTGCATCAGAAGATAAAACACTCACATTCCATGCACTGGTACAAGCCCATAGCACAACATTTTTTTAAAAAAAGAGTTAAAACTGTCATTGAAACCATTAAAGAATGAGGTTCGAGTCAAGAAGATCAGGGGGATGCTTATCTAAAGAGGTGTGTATTTGAGAGCTGGTGGAATGCCAATGCAATTGGAACCTCTTGTGTTTCAGCAGAGAGGGCATTCCACAACACTGGTACCACCAATGAAAAAGACACACAGCCTGCCCTGCCTAAGCTAGTCAGCCATCTCCCAGTATGATGGTGGATGTCGTCCTGTTTCCAGTAATGAAGTAAGATTCAATTGCCAGGCCAGCATGTTTCTGTACATGGAAGGGCTGTGTCCAACAGCTTGTCCTTTGCTTCAGGCAGCAAAATATCTTGGGCCAGTCCTTCATCTCCAGCACTTATGAGTCCTGGGACAGAGATCTGAGGAGGCCTAGATCAAATGAATCCCATGCACAGACTCAGAGGGTCAATGGGATCTAACCTGACTTTTCCTGAAGAGTGAACCATATGATTCTCCTCCTTTGCATTCCCTCCCTCACCCTCTCTCCCAGTATATGAACTTCTATTTATTCAGCCTAGTTTTGCAGCTGATTGCTATTAATCAAGACTTTCCTTTTAACCAAAATAACACAAATGCAATCAGGCCTTCCGACTGCAATTGGGCCCCCTGCAGTAGAAGAAAATTTCACCTTTCCATCATTTCATCACTGCTTTTTGTGTGGTGCAGACCTGTTTCTCTGCAGGTGTGTGGAAGTTCTGCTTCTCTCCTGTTGCTGGGAGAAAACTTCACCCTCCACCCCAGCCTGCTTGAAGCCTGCTTATTCAGTCATTTTTTAAAATACGCTACTATGTAGACAAATATCATTGTTGGGTTATAGGCAGCTGGAAGATGAGGGGCAGGAACTACTAGCTCTATCAAAAGTTCAACACATGTATTATAGGATAGCCATTTAAAGGTTAAGGGACCCCTGACCATTAGGTCCAGTCGTGGCCGACTCTGGGGTTGCGGTGCTCATCTCACTTTAATGGCCAAGGGAGCCAGCGTACAGCTTCCGGGTCATGTGGCCAGCATGACTAAGCCGCTTCTGGCAAACCAGAGCTGCGCACAGAAACACCGTTTACCTTCCCACCGGAGTGGTACCTATTTATCTACTTGCACTTTGACGTGCTTTCGAACTGCTAGGTTGGCAGGAGCAGGGACCGAGCAACGGGAGCTCACCCCGTCGCAGGGATTCGAACCGCCGACCTTCTGATCGGCAAGTCCTAGGCTCTGTGGTTTAACCCACAGCGCCACCCGCGCCCCTAGGATAGCCATTTACACGTCACCAAAAAACAGGCTGTGTGATCTCTTTTTCCTTTTGATCCTAGTACTCCATGCTGTCTTCCTGCTCTCCCATTGGCCCCTCATCCACTAAAACCCTGGTCTCCTATATCCTAGTTTAAAACTCTAACCACTATGCCACACAGCATCTACGTAAATGTTAGCAAAAAAGCAAATATTCAATGTGCCCCCCATGAAGGCCGAAGTTTGCATAGCAACATTGAATTCAATGGGGTTTCTCCTGCTTGTATTGTTCAGGATTTGTGTTCTCTTCTCAACAAAACAGTTTTTAACCTAATCTCACTTTTCTGCTCTCTCCCCCCTCCCTTCTTCTTTTTTTAAACTAGAAGCCAGCACTCTCCTTAAAGTTGCTATTAAACCAGCAAGCTCACTGGCACAGGGCTAAATTATAAGCAGTGGGTTAATATACTGGAAGCAAGGGAATAGAGGCGAGGCATTATGATACCTGGAGGAAGGTTATGAACAATACCGGCAAGGGAGAGAGAAGAGAACTTAATTGGCTTATTAGGGAATATGAGGCATTCCCCTCACTGAGCTGAAAACACAACATCAGCAGACTCCTGGCAACAAATCCATCGCTGAACTTTATCACTTAAGGCAGCAGGTGGGGATCGAATGTTCAAATGATCCTACTCCCTGAAAAGCACACACACACAATTCTGCAATCTTGGCCTCTTCCTGGGATTTTAGTTCTGTATGCATGGCAGTGTGGGTGGTGAGGTGTGTGTTGTGCATCGAATGTGGCTGAGGCCTGAACCCTGGGGTAAATCAGACCTGTTCAGAGGGAGTTGGGCCTCATTTCAGTTGTGTCTCCTTTCTGTGCCTCTCCTTCTTCCTGCCACTGCTAGGTATTTCCTAGCCCCTTGAAGGATCCTATCATGAATGGTGGTGTTGCTTCAAGAGTGCCTTCCCTTGAACCCAATCCCACATGCTTCACCACCAACCTTTTGCAACTCCTATTTAAACTTCAGGTTTAAAAACCTTTAGCTCCACCCCCAAATTACTTCGGGGGCAGTTATAGCATGGGCTGGGAAAACCCTAGGGTGACACAAGGCAAATTGGCCGAATCCAGGCGCCATATGCCAGGGCCACAGGGCAGATTGGACTATGGTTTGTCTGTTCTCTGTGGGTTTTGATTCAGTGGTTCAGTCACCTCTCAAGATCTCATTGCCAAACTCAGCAAATTGATGTTTGCATGCCAGGCACTATTTTCGATCAAGATGGCAGACCAAAACATGACTTTGGCATGACTTCACCTGATTTTTGGTATAGGTTTGGCCACCTCTTCTGATATCATCACCAAACTCAGGGTTCCCAAGGTGTGGGCAGCTGTCTTTGTTGATTTTTGGATGTCAGGTGCCATTTTGAATCAAGATGGAAGACCACAACTTGACTTTGGTGTGACTTCATCCAGTTTTTGGCATGATGGGTCCAAACTCACAAATTAAAGTACCCATTTTAAAATCACAGTTTCTACAGATTCCTTGGTTTCTACAGATTCCTGGGCAGTGACAGGCACTCCCTACGTGTGTGTGTGTGTGTGTGTGTGAGAGAGAGAGAGAGAGAGAGAGAGAGAGAGATTTCACAGCCTACCTTCAACCTCCAGGGGAACAGTCTAGCCATAGATAGATAACTCATCTCTGCTAATTGTGTGGCTCAAGTCTTTAGTGACCCATCCATCACCCCCCCCCCCGCTTTCCTCATGTAGTTGGTATTCTGGTGTACTGCTTCCCATTTCTCCAAACAACAGAACAATCTAGAGGTCATGTTACCCCAACTTTGGGATGTTGTCTCAGGATATCACCTCAGGGATTCCCTCTGGGTGTTCTGTCTTCCCCTCAACCCTGTTTAATGGGGGATTCTTATTTGGAAGTCTCATTTGATTCCAGCTCCGGAGGTCAGCAAGTTCTGACTGAACTCAGTGGTGATTGGTGCCCATTGGCACTGGTAGGGTGGAACACAGAGAGGGAAACAGTAGTTGGCTCCAGGTGAGCCAATGACAGGCAGAGCCAACTCATTTTAATTTTGTCCCTTTCCTCTTACTGCTTGCTGAGTTGTACAAGGACAACAGTGAGACTAAGGAAGACAGCCATAGGCAGCGCCAGCCTCAGGGACTGGCTGTAAGGAAACAGGCAGGCAGATGTGGGCTGACTAAAGCCAGGCTGAGGATTTGGAACAGTGCCCCATTCAACCTACTGGACCAGCCTTCACAGACTTATCTTCAAATTGGGTTGTATCCTTCAGAGCACACAACTGAAATTTGTTGTTGTTGTTTAGTTGTTTAGTCATGTCCGACTCTCCGTGACCCCATGGACCAGAGCATGCCAGGCACTCCTGTCTTCCACTGCCTCCCGCAGTTTGGTCAGACTCATGTTTGTAGCTTCGAGAACACTGTCCAACCATCTCGTCCTCTGTCATCCCCTTCTCCTTGTGCCCTCCATCTTTCCCAACATCAGGGTCTTTCCCAGGGAGTCTTCTCTTCTCATGAGGTGGCCAAAGTATTGGAGTCTCAGCTTCAGGATCTGTCCTACCGTTGAGCACTCAGGGCTGATTTCCTTAAGAATGGATACGTTTGATTTTCTTGCAGTCTGTGGGACTCTCAAGAGTCTCCTCCAGCACCATAATTCAAAAGCATCAATTCTTTGGCGATCAGCCTTCTTTATGGTCCAGCTCTCACTTCCATACATCACTACTGGGAAAACCATGGCTTTAACTATACGGACCTTTGTTGGCAAGGTGATGTCTCTGCTTTTTAAGATGCTGTCTAGGTTTGCCATCGCCTTTCTCCCAAGGAGCAGGTGTCTTTTAATTTCGTGACTGCTGTCACCAACTGAAATTAATGGACCTGTTAAGCCTGTCCATTAATTTCACTGGGTCTTGGATATAGCCCATTCTGCTCTCATGTAAAGTTTACATGCAAATATCCTAGAGAGCTGAGTTTATGAGGAAATGTCATGTTCAGCTTCATGCTGGTTTAAGGCATTGACCTTTCTAACTCACAAGCCACCTCCTTCAGTGAGATTTGTCATTGTCGTTTTTTTACACTAATTCATTTGCAGAGTTTCCCCTCTTCCTATTCTCCTTGCTGTTGTAAAAAGACAATTAACCAAATGTGGAAAGTTTCATATGCGCCCAACTTCTAAAAAAACCCCCCGAATGCTCAAGAAAGCTATTGTTGAATGTCAGCAGAATCTATGTAATGGAAAAACCCAATTAATTGGCCCTGTTTGCTCTGTTGCAGGGTGTTACAGCTTCCAGAAGTGTCAATAGGAGCCAAAATTAAGCAGAGATCTGTTTGGAGAAGATGCTTTAGAAACAACATCTTGACGAGGCACACACACACAAAATACGCCAAATCAAAACAAATTTAGTCAGAGTCTGCCTTTGATCTAAAAGAGCCAAAAAATTGAAAGATGCATTTCCTCCTCTGAAGAAAGCTCCTGCTAATGAGGGTTCTAACTAGGGTAAAGCAATATCAAAACATTCCTGAATGCTAATTATGCTCAGCATGCCAAAGTAGTCCACCTTTGTAAGTGCAGATAATAAAGGCACTGAGATTGAAAAGAAAGCCCTTACCCAGCAGTAAACAGAGAGCGCTGCGGCTCTAAAGCTATGCCAAAGTCAGGTTTAACTTTTCAGCCAAATCCACACTATATATTGAAAGCACTATGATGCCACTTTAGGGAGTCAAGGTTGCCCCCAAAGAATCCTGGGAATTGTCATTAACAACAAGATGCTGAGAGAGGCTAGGAGCCTCCCATTGCCTCCACAGCTGTACCATTCCCAGAGCAGTGCAAAAATCACGGACCCGCTGAGTGTCCCTATTTTCCAGGGACAGTCCTGGATATACAGAAGCCATCCTGGTTTCTGGTATGATCCTGGAATGTCCCACTTTTCCTTAGGGTATCCCTATTTTCATCAGAGAAATATTGGAGGGTTTGGAGTTATGCAACCCCCGAGTCAAGGAGATAAATAACTATACAACCTTTAGAAGACATCTGAAGGCAGCCCTGTACAGGGAAGCTTTTTAATGTTTAATGTTTTATTATGCTTTTATATATGTTGGAAGCTGCCCAGAGTAGCTGGGGCAACCCAATCAGATGAACAGGGTATAAATAATAAAATTATTATTATTATTATTATTATTATTATTATTATTATTAAATAGGATGTACCTATTTTCATCAGGGAAATGTTGGAGGGTATGCAATCAATCCCTCTTCCCAAGAAACTCTGAGAATTGTAGCTCTATGAGGAGAATAGGGGGCACCTAATGATTTACAGCACCCTTTAATCACAATCTAAAGGATTTTTTGGGGGAAAACCATGACTGGTATAACTGTGCTTTAAAAGTATGGTGGGAATATGGCTATTAATTACAGGGCATTTGCTTAAGGAGAAGAGAAGAGGGAGGTTTTGGGTGTCTTGCAGAGAATTTCCCTCTCCTGTTTTTCATAACCAAAATGGTTGCCCACGTAAAAACAGGAGTAGTTCAGATACTTTTTGTTGCTAATGTCAGGAGCCAGAGTCAGGCATCGATCAGCATGGTGTCAGTAAAGATAAGTCTTCATTCAAAGAAACTAGAACAGCGCGGAATGAGTGATCCCAGCAACTCTTCCCACTAGGTCTTGCCCCAGTGAGGCTGGTCTGAGGATTGGAGTTCCCCACCTTCTCACCACTCTCTAGGGCTTCCCGTCTCCAGGGTCTTTCCTAAGCAGTCCCAAACTGTGTCTGTGCACAACCACTGTCTGCTCTGCTCTTTTCACTTTTCTTCGTGTTATAGGATGGCCAAGGGGGAGGGGAGCTGGTTGCGGCAGGTGTGGGAGACTCCCTGATTTCTCCAGCAGCCTGTCTCAACTCTGCTTCTTAGCCACCCTCCTCTCCAGCCTCCACTTCAACCTTGAAGTCTGAACTGCCCTCTGCTACAGCCTCTTCCTGTTCACTAAACCCTGTTACTACTTCTGCTTCCTACACCCCTCTTCTCCCCACTGGCGGAGGAACGGGGGCGGCGGGGGGAGCGAACCACTCCCAGCACTATCAGGGAGGGGGGGTACCATCGTGGCCACCCCTGGACACGCGCCGCGCACCCCCACTGTGCCAGGCGTCACGATCCACGGGCAGCACGCCACGCCCCCAGGACACAAGTCACGCCCCTGCGGGTGACGTGCCACGCTTCTGGGATGCGCACCCTGCCCCCAGGACGTGCGCCAGCCATGCCGCTGCCTGCTCTCTGCCCCCAGTGCTGGAGCATGCAGCTTCGCCACTGCTTCTCCCTCTGACCACTCATCATCATCCCCCTACCAGTCCCCTGGCTCTTCTTCCCCTGGGGGTCACCAGCTGGTGCCTCGCACCACTCCCTCTGCATCCAGTCAGTCCATGACATCTAACCAGAAAAGCAAAAATGTGCTGCTTTCACTCTGTTCTTGTGGACAACATGTATGCAACCCAATGGGCAGTGTGTTAGACTCCCACCACCAAAAGATGACATATAGATAACCCCATAGAAAACAATATGCAAGTACATTAATCTAGGGTTGCCATATTTCAGGAAGTGGAAATCCAGACACAAAAGTTGTTGAGTTTTTTGTTTTTGTTTTGCCACCCCCCCCAAAAACAGGGTTTTTTGGGGGGGATCCCCCACTTCCACATGCAGGTTTTCCCGGACATTTAAACCAGCTGACAAAAATTCCACCCATACTCGACTTTCGGCAGCCAAATCCTGGCAATGTCCGGGAAATTCTGGATGTATGGCAGCCCTAATTAACCTAATATGGGTGACCTGTGATCAGAAAATACTGTGAAGCCAGTGACAGAGAGCTGTGGGAGAGCCAAGCAAGAGGTTCTATTGCATTGATTGTCTGGCATCTTGATTTAATAGCCCTAGCAGGAATCGCTTGTAAGAGGTAATTAACTTCTTAACAAACACAGCTTTGGTCTAAACAATCTGCAGGTTATCAGTTCAATTTGCAAGTAAATTAAATGTATCAATATCCACCTCCTGGATATAAATCTGACTCCTTATAGAAGTCTTTGGGAATTCATTTGCATTTCAACACATCCCAGAATTTGTGTCTGGTGAGAATGAAAGTAGCTATGCTTAAAATGAAAATCCTGCTCACCTCACTTATGGCTTATTGTAACTTGCTTTGCAAGCCTAAACCAGACCAAGCTGAAATTCTCAGAAGGTGGAATTCTGCCTCCTCATCAGCAGTGGCTGGTGCCCATTGCAACTGGTAGGGTGGAAGGCAAGGGAACCCAACAGTAGGTGGAGCCAGAGACAATGACAGGCAGAGGCCACTAATTCTAGTCTTGCCCCCATCCTACTCCTTTGTCTAATGCAGGAGTAGCTCTCCAGATGTTTGTTCATTATTAAATTAATATCATG